TTTTTTTTTTTTTGTTCTCTTTAATTACTGATGCAGCACATCTCATTGCCTTTAGAGGCAAAGTAAAAAGAAAGGAATGAATATCTTACACATTAGAATTTCTTACATGATCACATTCAGCTGTTTAAAAGTTTAATACAGCATTAACACCGGCTTTCAGGGGTAACGGATCTTCATCTCTTGTGTCGTACAGTACGGGTCAGCAGAAGCTCTGCATGCCATCATGTGGTCCGGTTCATACTGTTCAGCGCCTGTAAACACCATCCTCTGGGAATATTGTGCCGTCCAGTGACTTAACATGTAGGAGTCACTAATAAGCAGCATGAGTTCAGGCTCAACATTTAACAAAAGTCTGGCTTCAGTTCAAGTGCTGAGGTCAGCTGTGTGGTTTTCTGAGATTATTGTAAGCGAAATTACTCGCATGCATATTTAGACATTGGAGATGTGCGTTATGTCACTGTTTGCTTGGGCTTCATTGTTTCTCTGCTGATCTGCATCATGAATTCACCTCAAATAAGCCACTTTTCTGTAAATAACCTTTTACATGAGTATTTTATGTTGAAAATGTCAGAAAAAGACAAAGAGAAGAAAACCAAATGCTCTTGTAATACATTACGGTTATTTGTAATGTATTTTAGAAGTCTAGTGGTTATGGATATGTGGTTATTAGAGTAGAAAAAGATTCAAGAAGTAGTGAAATGTGGTCTAGTAGTATTCTGTAAATATGTGTGCATTCAGACCAGTGGCCATCTGACAGCCTTCTGTCAACTTTATAATAAAATACTACAAACAATAAATGTGTTTTTACGCTTCTAAATTTGTTGTGAGATAACTATATTCGTCTCAGTTCAAGCAGCATGTGAATCAATTATATTTTCCTCTTTAATATTTGAATGCATGTTGAAAAAATCAGAACAATTTAATACAAATGACTGTTTCATGAAATCCATCAATTATGAGTTTTTCAAAAAACGTCAATAAGCCTACTTTTTATTTCTGTTTTTTAAGTTGAATGTGAACAGCGACAGGTTGGATGCCACAGACTTTTTATTTTATTTGTTTAATGTTTTGCGGAGTATAGGTGGAATTCTCACATTAACATCACGCAATAGGCCTATAACCTGATTTTATTATCGTAATTTTGACTATTCTCAAAATATGATGTTAATCTTATTTTTCAACATGGTACTAAAATGCTGCCATTATTTATACTGCATGCAAACACAATCTTGGCACAGAAGCACAAAAAAGAAAAACAATAAATAAAATAGGAGATATTTGAATTAGTTATTAATAAACTAGTGTTTTCTGAGTGCCACAAGATGAAGTTGAGCTCCTGACTCTCCATCTCTTCAGGACCCGTGCCTTTAGAGAGAAATACATCTTGACGGATTAGCCTACATAATGAAAGAGTTTTTGTTTTCTATTTGAATGATTTCGTTTCTATCAGATATATGTGTGGCGTGTGGGTTCATCATTGTTTGTTTTCCTTCTTTATTTTACAAAAGCACAGGTTTTTGTTGATATTGTTTGTGAGTGCACAGAAATAAAAGTAGACCCTTTTCAATTCCGAATGACGTATTACTCTTACCTTTATGAGCAAATATGAGTTATGAAATATGAGTATTAAGTTTCCACTCTTCAGAAAATAAGCCAGTGTCTCCTCAGTGTCCTGCAGAGCTTCAGCTGCACTCCTCCACAAACCACTGGACATGCACATCTATATAGCTTAAACATTTAAACTAACATTGTGATATACTTGAACTGTTTTATCTATAGATGTTATTTTAGGCAAGTGCTGATGATCTGAGAAGGCTAAACTGATCAAGCATAGGCTATAGGCTATGATCAGCTCACTGTCTGCCGCTGGCCTTTACTTCAAACAACAAAAACTTACATTTAACGAACAAAACATACTCCAAATGTTTTTCTAAATTTACTTTATAAAAAAACGAAATGAAATCTAATCACTTTTCCATTACATACAGACCTGAGCTATTGTAATAGCTGAAACAGCAGCAGTATAGACGAGCTCGGGCCTCTATCTGAGAGCTGTGCAGGGCTCTAATCCACTCCATCAAACCTGTTCTGTTCTCAGCTGTGAGCATGCTCGTGATATATGTATTTTAGGTGTGTAAATGTATAATTGCCTTTTCATTCTTTTTTCAGTTTTATTTAAATTTGTAGTTAAAACAACTAAAAATAAATGCATTTTAAAGTTTAGAATTAGACAGCCTTTGCACACAGGCTTACGCTGAAAGCAACTAAATGGAACCTCAAGGTTGATCTAGGAAAATGTGTGCAAATGTATAGGGCCCCATTCCTATATTTTGCCTGGGGCCCCCAATTCACTAAATCCGCCCCTGCCCATATGCACCTGCACGCCGCTGCGCCCCTGATCCAGAGTCCAGACTGATAAACGCATGTAAAGGAAAGCTCGGTTATTTGGTTATTTGGTGCTTCATTATCCTGATCGCTCGTGATTCGCTTTCGCTCTTTTTGGTCGCGCTCGAGCGCCGTAACCGATCCTCCAAAGTACTCGATGTTTACTGTCTTTACTCTCTGAAACTCCGACTAAAGTCCTGCTGAAGCCACTGGAAGTATTAAACTGTAACAAATTATAACATGTGAACATTTGATCTTAGAAGTATTAAACTAACAAATTATAACGTGAACATTTGATACCACAGTCTTTAACTTTTTAGAAACACGCATAAATACTTCGGATCACTGTCGTGGACCGTAGGGTAACGCACTGAGGTCAGACACAACACACATTCACCTGCTGTCTCTCTCTCTCTCTCTCACACACACACACACACACACTCGCTCTCTCTCTCTCTCAATTTCAATTTAAGAGTGTGTGTGCGTGCGTGTGTTGCAGGTCACCCGGTGACATGAGCAGGTATTATGTTGGCGTGGACGTGGGCACTGCCAGTGTGCGAGCAGCTCTGGTCACACGGGACGGTCACGTCACACACACAGCAGAGGAGCCGGTTAACATTTGGGAGCCGTGTGCTGATCATTACGAGCAGTCATCAGAGGATATCTGGAGCAAATGCTGCAGGACTGTGAAGGTGAGCAGCGATGATCGCACTCCTGCATCACTGTCACGCAAACATCTCTGCATAGATCTTCATGTTGCGTAATCTTTTTTCAGTGTTTGACTTTGTTCATGTTGTTATAGCGAGTGACTCAGGACGTTGATGTGGAGTCTGTTCGAGGGATCGGCTTTGATGCCACCTGCTCCTTGGTGGCTCTGGACCGGCACTTCCAGCCCGTGGCTGTCAATCACACAGGTGCGCGTTTCACGAGTCGGTCACACAGTCAATGGAAAGATTATTTATTCAGCTTTCAGATGATGCATAAATCTCAATTTTGAAAAATTGACCCTTATGACTGGTCACATATTTCTTGTATTTGCAGAGGCTTCTGTGAACATGTCTAGTGATGCAGTGAATTGTTGAATAGAGTTACAAATTGAACATTGATTCATGAAAATGAGTAGCTCTAATGCTGTTTTTACTGCAGTTTAAATGATAGACAGTATTAAAAACTCGTTAACAGCCTCATCTTAATGCTCTCCTACTCACAGGTCACGAGGCAGAAGGATCGCAGAACTATTGTAACAATACAGTCTTTAGCAACCTGAAACCCAATCCTTAGGAATAGTTCACCCAACACTGATGCAATGCTACATTTCTACAAACCTGATGAAGAAACACAATCATCCTGATCTCGGATGGCCTGAGGGTGAGCACATTTTCATTTTTAGCTGAACTATTTATTTAACGATCAAGCAAAGTCTAATGAGAGTCATGTATATCTCCAGTGAAGTGATGGTGAATATCGAGCAGCTAAACAGCAGCTGTGTCTCCTGACGCAGGTCTTTATGTACTCTGGTGTGTAAGTGGACCTATTCTCCATCTGACGGCTGGGACGACTCCTTCTGGAGCGCCATCGGTCTGGAGGACCTGATGGAGAACAGTTACTCCAAAATAGGTAGGAGAGAATCGTGCTCTGGGTAAGTTGAGCTGGTTCTGCTGACTGAGGTCTTGTCTTGTGCTGAAGGCCAGCAGGCGTGTTGTCCAGGGGCTCCAGTAGGACGAGGTCTGACCGCAGCGGCGGCTGCAGATCTGGGTCTGATTCAGGGCACCGCTGTGGGCGCTTCGCTCATAGACGCTCACGCAGGAGGCTTAGGTACAGATCCACACACTCCTCAAACTAATGCTGTGCTCGCTCAGACAACACACACAGCTTAGCGTTCGGACAGTTTCATTTCGTTCTTATCGAGTTAAAAACACAAATAAATGCACAGCCATTTGCACTCTGCATGGAAAACATTTATATGAACGCGCTGTTGCACCTCTGAGAACTTTTAAGGCTTATTCTGTGGCGTTTATATAAGCCTCTCGACGGGTTGTGTCACAGAGCTGTAAACGGTTATGCTCAACAAGTGAATGAATCACGTTTGTGCCGAACTCTTATTACAAAGCAAAAGCAAACACTCTTCTTCCATCCATTAACGTTTCTCTAGTTATTGTGCTCGATGTCATCTCACAGACTGAAGCGTTTGTCACAGCAAATCAACACATGCTGTTGTGAATAATTAAGCAAAGCGTCTTCTCATAGGATAAGAACACACAGTCTCATGAATAATTTAATAGACACCGACGCCTCATCGATGTACTACAGTCCATTGCCACGTCACAAATTGTGACGTCAACACGATGTAGATTTTAAACCCGGAAGATGAAAATAGCGCAAAGCTTAAAATTAACTAGTTTTCTCCAACAGTTAAAATTATGGGATGCTAACATTGTCTTCTATGATGTGCAACACAAACACCTCTGCTAAAATCTCAGAAAAAGTAGTCTGGGGTTTCATGACCCTTTAAGGCAAAACAAAACCAGTGTTTTTTTTGTTTTGTTTTTTTATGCACTGGTCAATGTTGAGATTTTGGTCTGTTTTGCTTCCATATCATGTCTTCTTTCAGACTAATAGAGAACAAACACACAAAATACACATTTAAGTGTTTATTTTAATGCAATGGATCTATTTGCGTCTGTAGATTTAAACTCCAATCTATATATTTAGTTTTCTACATTTACATGCACCAAAACTTAGTTTTATTCCTCTTTGTATTCTGAAGGTTTGTTCGTATATCATTTAAACAACATTTTACTCATAAACATGGTGAAAATGTTTGTTTTCTGTCTGTTCACGGTATTTTCTGATTTATGGAAAAACCTTTAAAATGTCAACAAAATCCAACAAGATTATGAATCTGGATTTATTCAGTCTTCAGATTTATGTTGTGGATATGTATGCAAATTAATTCATATTTATTTAGTTAATGCCTCATTTGCATATGTAAACATAACATTTCAGAATACTACAATGTTTCCCATTCTTGTTGTAATTGATGAGCTGGGGAAGTGTGGTGATAAGTATTAGATTTCTGTCCTCTGCTCCGCTGTACAGTCGTGTGTGTGATTCCAGTGATTTCTCTGGTTGTTGCGTAGGGCTGATGGGAGCAGACGTGACGGGGCATCACCTGCCCTGCGAGCATCGGCCGGTCTCGTCCCGTATGGCCCTCATATGCGGCACGTCTTCATGTCACATGGCTGTGAGCTTCATTCTGACGTGACGCTGTATCTGTGTCAGATCCAGTGATGGTTGAATCTCAGCATGTGTTTGTGTTGGTCTCTCAGGTCAGCACACAGCCGCTGTTCGTCCCCGGTGTCTGGGGCCCGTATCTCTCCGCCATGCTGCCGGGGCTGTGGCTCAATGAGGGAGGACAGAGCGCCACGGGACGCCTGGTGAGAGCCGAGCGCTTCAGAATCATGAGCATTCGCATTTGTACTGAACACATCATTATGAAACAAGCCATCAAACTGCGAATGAGCTGCAGGGATCTGACGTGTGTTTTCAGGTGGAGCATGTGGTGAGAGGACACGCGGCGTACAGGCAGCTGGAGGAGCAGGCGGAGCGCAGGTGTGTGTCTGTCAATCATCCTCATCTGATCTCTCTGATCTCAGTCTCATTTCACCGGTTTGCTCCGTGCAGCGGGAAGCAGGTTTACTCGTACCTGAACACTCACCTGGAGGGCATGAGCGCAGACGCAGCGCAGCTGGAGCAGCTGACGGCCCGCCTGCACGTCTGGCCTGATTTCCACGGCAACCGCTCTCCTCTGGCCGACCAGACGGCCCGCGGCGTGGTGAGCAGCAGGACACGCCTCCTCCGGCGCTGATCCGCATCATCAGTGTCTGCATCACGATTCACTGCTGATCACAAGATACAGAAGAGGAAGATTATTTGGAGGAACTTTGAGATTGTCGAGATATTATTTTCATTACAATTAGATGCAAATTAAAGGGTGTTGCTATGTACTTTCTAGGATGTTGTGTTGTGAGTGCTAAGCTGTTGCTAGGGTGTTCTTAATGGTTGCTAGGGTGTTGATAGGATGAATAATTAGAATGGGGAACAAAATCCTTCCAAATTAACCTTTGAATGCATTCTAATGGTTAATGGGAATGTTTTTTAGTATCCCCCCCCCCCTTTATTTTTGGGGACAGTAATGTGAGTGTAAGTGGGAAATGAAATGTGCTTGATGTCATGGTAAATGTCACATCTTAATGGCCCTAGAAAGAACTTGATTTTGTTGGTCAAATAAATTGTAATTTTTTTAAGGTGTTAAGGAAATATAAAAGATTATTTTATGTTTTTGTACTAATTTATGAAGTGCTAGATAGTGGTTTGATGTGTTTACTGATGCATTTGTGCAGGTTGTGGGTCTCACTTTATCACAGACACTGGATGATCTGGCTCTGCTGTATCTCGCAACTCTTCAGGCCATCGCTGTAAGACACACACACACACACATACACTCACTCTCACACATACACACACACTCACTCTCATACACACACACACACACACACACACGGTCACTCAAACACACACACACTCACTCACACACACACACACACACTCACTCACTCACACACACACACACACTCACACTCTCACACACACAAGCTTGGATGCTCCTTTAAGTAAATGATCACATCTTCCAGTGTTAATGTGAATATGTCTCTGTTGTGTGAAGCTCGGCACCAGACACATCATAGACGCCATGAGAGCGGCAGGACATGACATCACGACCCTCTTCCTGTGTGGAGGACTGAGCAAGAATGCCCTGTTTGTGCAGACACATGCCAACACTACAGGTGACTGCACTCATGTCTGCATCACTGACCTGCGCAGACGACATCCTCACGTCCTCACATCACACACAGAGTCTGAGCACTGAACCTCATCACATCACTAACATGAAGACGGGCAGCACTGTGTGTGTTTGGGGTTAGTTAGTGGATGATGTGGGTAGTTAATGTGATTCTCTACACCGGTGTGATCTGTGAGAACTGACTTCATACATCCAGCCTCCAAGATATTCTTGATGGCCGTTCTGCGCTTCCAGGGGACAGTTAGTTCCAGGAAAACCACTTGCTTTGTAGACTCTGATGTTAACACAATATCTGGGCGGAACAAGTGTTTGCGATGTTTTTTGGGAACTTAAGCTGCCTTCCTAGATCTACCTGGAGCTGCCAGTCCTGTGTGGTGGGAAGAATCCCTCCCGTGGAGCTAGGCCGACCCTGTGCCTTCTCCCCAGCTCTGAAGAAGGTGATGTACTGTTTGGGGGTGTGCTGACTCTTACCATCTTGAGTGCTGATTCTCCGCCAGAGACCTTAAGACTTGGTCATGGGGCCATCGGTATCGCCCTTCCCCCAGTGCCATCGAACAACAACTGAGGATGTGCCCCAGGGTGCCCCTCTTCTGGCAAAGTTGGCACTCTGGAGTATTTGCCATTCCCCGGCTATACAGGTTGGATGGGCTGGGGAGAACATCATAAACTGATTGAATGAGAAACTTAATGCGCAATGGTTCAGCTCTCCAGAGCTCCATCCAGGTGATCTTGCGAGGCTCTACATGCTCCCATCTGGTCCAGGCTCCTTGCTTGTACGTGCCCGACCATCTTACTGTAGTGTTCTTCCTCCACCTCTGCTCGTATCTCATCCTGTGCCAGTTGACGTTTCTCCTTCCCATGGCTTTTCTCATAAACTGGTTGGGGAAAACCAAGATGTTATGCCACAGCCATGCCTCTGCTCTATCTACAGCAACCTGAGCCTGCCATGTCTTCATGAGGATTCCTGTAGTCGTGACTTTAATGTCGGAGGAGTCTCGGTACATCATAACCTCCCTGTCTTAAGTAACTTTGAACTCCTCCACTAGGCCACTTATAGGAAGCTGCAGCTTGGTGGAATGCCCATACAGGGCAATACTGCTTAGAGAGCGAGGGAGCCCCAACCACCTCAGGAGGAACTGACTGATAGTTTTCACTACGGTTTCCACTGTTGTCATTGGCACCTCATACACTAGAAGAGGCCAGAGCAGCCTTGGCAGAACTGCATGTTGATATACCCAGGCTTTGAACTTTCCTGGAAGCCCCGATTTATCTATCACGGTGAGCCAGGCAGTAAAATCGCTCCGGGTTTGTTGCGTTGTGGCTGTGTCCTTCAGGAAACTGTCAAAGATCTTGCCCAGGCTCTTGACCGGTTTTTCTGTCACTGTTGGAGGGCAAAGCGGAACTGGTCAGCCACTTTTCCCTTTTTCAACACTAGAGACCTGGACTTGTCTGGTTTAAAACTCATCCTTGCCCATGCAATGAGCTATTCCAGTCCTTGAAGAAGCCATCTGCACGCAGAAACAGATGTTGCTTTCACCGTTAGGTCATCCATAAATGCTCTTATTGCGGGCTGCCAAGTACCAGATCTAGACATTGGGCCTCTACTTTCCACCTCTGCTGGCTTGACGATCATGTTCCTGGCTAATGCAAAGAGTGGCACTGAGATTGTGCAGCCAGTGACCTTACCCTTCTCCAGCCGGTGCCATGAAGATATTAATGACCCTGAGGAGACTCTCAACCTAAAGTCACTATAATAGTCCAGAATTATGTTACTAATCATCTCTGGAACATGGTGTCTTGTCATTGCTGTCTCGATGAGCTTGTGTGGGATGAAACCATAGGCATTTGATAGATCTAGCCAGAGTGCTGCAAGGTCTCCTCTGCTTTCTCTTGCCTCCCGGATCAACTGGGTCACTATTCATGTATGCTCCAGTGACACCTGGGACTCCCCCCTTCTGTACTGAGGTATCTATATGCATTCTTTAGGAGGAACTCAGTTAGACGTTGGGCCACAATCTTAAAGAAGATCTTCCTTTCGACGCTGAGCAACAAAATGATACGAAACTGCTCTCTTACTTGAATCCTCTTCTTTCGGTATCCATATACCCTCTGCATGTCTCCACTACGCAGCAACCTTTCCTCTTCGCCAGATCACCTTCAAGATCCTCCAGAGACACACTAGGACCTAGGGCACTGCTTATAGACCTTATAAGGTACTTCACTGGGACCTGAGACAGAGCTAGTTCTTGCAGTTTTGACTGCTTATTTGACTTCCTTCAGGGTAGGCTCAGAGATGTTAAATTGGGTCTCTGGTTCTGGAGGTGTTACCAGTTCCTCACATAGGCCAAGGTCTTGCTCCCTCAAATTGTCACTAAAGGTGAAACTGAGATGGTGATTGACTTCCTCTGCAGAGCAAATGAGTTGGCCACTCCGCTTCTGTCCCAGTAGTCTCTTGGCAAAGCCAAAGGGTTTGGCAATAAAAGCACTGCACTTTCGGGCCCTCTCCTTGCCCTTCCTACGATGCCACTCAGCCCGCCTCAGTGTAATGAGCCTCCTCCTTATGATGTCTGTTAGGTCTGACAATGCAGCTTTCTCCTTCTCCTCAGCCAACTTAGATTGGTGCTTCAGGGATCTGAGTCCTTGTCTCAGCTGGCTGATCTTGTGTTCCCACCGGTTTGGTCTTGCTGGATCACTTGTTCCCTGCTTCTCCGAGGTGCCAAACCGTTCTGAGCCTATGCTCATTATGAGGGTGCACATAGTTTGGAGTTTCTGGTCCGCATTCCCCTTCGATGTCACCTCCAGTATCTTATCTACATCCTCATCCAACTGGAGCCACTTCTTCTTATTAGCAGCAGGCCACTTCATTCGAAGCTGTTCTGATGTCCTGCTTTGTGGGGGGACTTGTGTTGCATGGAGGTTCTGGGCACTGTGGGGTGACTCCAGGCCGGGCTCCTCCTCCGTCTGACCAAGTTCTGTAGTCAGCACCACAAAACTTGTAGTGCTGTCTCCTGCTCCTGTGCATTGCTTCACTTGTTCCCTCCTCAAACAGGCCATTTTTGTCTGGTGGATCTTCAGACCTCTATGATTTCTACACCCCTTTCCACATACAGACTGCACCTGTAATCGATTTTCCATTTGCTTGGTTTATTACCAATTGGTCCACCCTATTGGAATGCTCATCTTCCCGCCCTCTCGGGCATCCCTGGGGGTATAGTTCTAAAGGGTTCTTCGTAGCTTATTTGGGTGCTCCCTCACTCTAGCTGTAGTTTGGGTTGCTAGCCCTTGCTGCCCCCAGATACTGTCTTTCCGTGCTGTCTTCTGTCTCTCCAGCCGTCACCATTCTTTTCATGGACATCATCCAGTCTTTCCTGGAGGTCATTGGCAGAGCCAGAAGTGATAATTATAACATACACCTTCTGGTGCTACTTGGACACGTCTTCAGTGAAGAAGTATATATCATGGTAGTATTTTTTTGCTGACTTAAATGTGATAAAAACTGCTGCATTACAATAATTGTTAATTTAATATAATATTGATAACTAGACATTCATTTTTCTGAAGAAAATGTCAGTGGTTTCTGCCGTGGCAGAACTCAGCACTAGGCAGTCTCTATGATGTTCAGAATGATTGCTAGGGCGTTGCTATGTGGTTGTTAGGCAGTTGCTATGTTGTTCTGGGTGGATGCTAGGGTGTTGTGGGTCACCAAATTCACCTGATTCAAATGCAGTCAGATGAACAGAAGTTTCAGACACACACAGATACTTGATCTCTCGGTTCTTTGCTCATTATGACGCATTTGTGTGTGCGAGTGTGTGTGTGTTTGTGTGTGTTTGTGTGTGTGTGTGTGTGTGTGTGTGTGCAGGTCTGCCGGTGGTTCTGCCGGCGGAGCGAGAGGCTGTGCTGCTGGGAGCCGCTGTGATCGGAGCCTGTGCTTCATCTGACTGCAGCTCCATACAGGTACAGACAGCCCTCACTAATACATCATTCTAGGATTTCATGTGAAGAGCAAGATTTGATGAGACCGTTACCTATGTGATGCCTTTTTGTAAATCAGCACCACTATCTCACTATATAGTAAGTCAATAGTAGCCTACCACTTAAACTAGTACCAAGTAAACAGAAATGTTTTAAATCTTTCTGCAGTACAGTTCAAATCGGTACACATTACTATTGGATTAACAGAATATTGTCACTCACATTCAGACACTCTCACACAGACACAGACACTCTCTCACACACACACACACACAAACACACACTCGCACGCACACACACACACACACACACTCACACACACACACACACACACACACACACACAAACGTGTGCACACTCCCACTCGTATTTGTAAATATTAAGTCGTAAAACGACTACTTAAATATGAATTCTGCGTGTCTCTGTGTTTATGAATGGCGCAGACGCGCGGTTTTGTGTAGTGCTCGTACTGAAACCTGTTTTATGCCTTAAATGTAAATACACAACACAGAATTTCAGAGGAAAAAAATAATTAGGCTATTGTAAAAATAAATAAAACTTGTTTTTATGCTTTCAAATAATTAGACATGTTTTGGGAACAATAAAACATAACCTTGGAAAAAAATAAAACATTTCATAGGGCCCTGAACATGTAATTTTTGTTAAACTTTTGATAAATTGATGTTAAATTGTTCAAGTTTCATGATTTTAATTAATTAGATATGTTTTGTTGGTTAATAATTTAATTTAACCATTAAAAAGGGGTCCAGAAAATTGAAAACTGAAAAAAAACAGTTTACATTCACTTTAGACATAGCTGTGTTTACGTGAATACTCAAGATGGGCTTTTTGACATCATTGTGTGTGTATTTGCATGAATGTATTTAAATGAAGACACAACAGAGAACTCAATCCTGTACTTGCAGACAGACAGAAGGACTGAAGTCCCCTAAAAAAGCTCTAGAACCTTCCCTGAGAGCGTCATCAGTTCAGCTGCTCCCACACCGTCAGATGAGAACTGAACTGAGCTGAATTCATCTGAATAATGACACTATTGTCTACTGCAGAGCTAACATTCATGAGTTATTTTCCTGTTTATTTCTGTGACGCTGCATTATATAAAGCACTATAGAAATAAATGTGACTTGACAAAGGAGCATCCTGGTGTCTTTCTAGGAAGCAATGAGGAGAATGACCAGAATCGGGCGTGTTGTCAGACCAAACCCTGGGCTCGAGAGGTGAGGTTCAGTGATGTGTTCATGCTTTCATTCTGTCAGTACCAAGACACTCATATCTCAGGATTCTTGTGCATCAGTGTCTGTAACCGTACGAATGAATGTTGGTGTGTGTGTAAAGCTTCTACAGGAGGAAGTACACCGTGTTTCTGCGCCTTTATGATCATCAGAAGGAGTGTGTGGCGCTGATGGAAACCGAAGCAGTGTGACATGCAGACGCTTTCTGAAGAGCAGATTAAACACGGAGATCCTTGAGCTGAAGACCAAAAACAGCTTTTCATTCATCTACTATGGTTCAGCCTTTTACACCTAAATATCACCCAGATAAAATCTGTTAAAACACTTCAGGTAAAAGTTGACCACAGCTACTCACAAGAGAAACCAAGTTTGTTTTAAAGATCAGTTTAACATGATTTATTTGTGTGCGTGTGTGTTTTAAAAACTGAACATCAGTTCACAAATAAAATACACATATTGAAATGTCACTTTGTTCTAATAGTTATTTTGGAATGTAAAAATGCTTAAAATACTAACTTGATATATACTTAGTTTTAATAAATAATTAATTACTGACAACATAAAAATACAATTTAGAATTGTTTTTTGAAAAAGTAATATTTGTTTAACCTGGAAAATGTCCACATTACAGGGATAATTCCCCCAAAATGAACATTTGCTGTTAGTTTACTCCTCCTCAAGCCAACGAAGACTTCTTTTCTTCAGCTGAACAGTAAAGAAGATTTTAGCTGAAACCGTGATTCATACAGTGTAAGTCAATGGCTACCGTCACTCTGAGAGTCAGAAAAGCACATCAGGCAACACGAAATGAATCCCCGTGGCTCCTGGCGATATATTGAGGCCTTATGAAGCGAAAAGATCAGTCTGTGGAAGAAACATTATTTACAACATGATTACTGTAATCCAGCCTCAGGCAAACGGGGAAATCTGATTCTTTTCTGCCAACTGGTTCTTTCGGACAGTTTGTTTCAGTGAACTGGTTCAATTCTCTAGTTAGTTTATATAATCACACAATGACGTAATGTATACGCAATTATATTATTAAAGCACACAATAATGCTGTGAAACGTGGATGTTTTACTTGTCAAAAGCACATAAAGCGAGTAAACTAGTCTTCATCAGCTCACCTTTCTACAGAACCATAAACCCGTTCATTTCTCTCCTCCATGCAAGCTCTGGGTTCACACAAGCTCACATCAGCAGCTCATCCGTCTTCAGTCCGAGTCCAGCTGTTTCTTCGGTTCGGTGACTGCTGGAGGAGCTGGGTCTGAGTCAGTTCATTCATCGCAGGATCAGGTACACCAGTGTTTGGCTCATTTCTAGTCTCAGAGACTGTCAGGCGTCTGAAAGCGAGTTGTAGATCTGCTGCTCGAGCCACGGACTGCTTCAGTCTGAACTGCTTTCATCTAGTTCACCAAAAACAACCAGTTCAAAAGAATGCTTTTTATTATTCTCAAAAATGAATAAATTAATATATGTATTTTGCATTCATGTCTGGTGTTTAGTCCAACCAGTCACTATTGAGTTACGAGGTTAGGGCTATGATACGTTCCTTACCACTCTTGCTGCAAGCATAAAGTAAAGATCTGGAGGACTTTAGTGAAGAAAAAAAGCTTTATTACTTTATTATTGAGACACAATGTTGAAACAATTCTGAACTCAAGCACGTCTGTCCTCTGTGCTCATTAAATGAGCAGCTCTGTACAACGTTTTGCTCTCATTTATTGACATTTCATAATGTACAATACAGTGGTCTTAGTTAAAGTAATAAATAAATAATATGAATGTACTTTATTTAGCAATGAATGAACATGTGGCCAAACAATGCAAAGTACACAGTTTGTGTATTGCAAAGGTCCTTATTTCACATTTTCATCAATGCTGTAGTTGATAGGTTTCCAACACTCTTCTGATCTCACGTTCTCACTGCACGACTTTTCAGTTCACCACCTCTCACAAACTGTGACTGATACAATGAATTTAAGGATATGCATGGAGAAATAATACACAGCATTGTCTGATGAATGCTACTGCACACAGCTAACGTCGTGTAGAAAGAGCTGCTACTCTCCAGCATGTAGATGTTCAAGAAAATGACTTTGCAAGATAACATCTGAGTTTCTCTGTTGACTTCTGCTCATTTGGTAACTTCTGGAGACAGTTTCTCCGGTGCGACAGCAGAGCGCTGGAGGTGATGAAGCTCCGTCCACACGGCGGGCAGCGGTGCGGTTTCTCTCCGCTGTGAACTCTCTCGTGTATCTTCAGGTTCCCCGACTGACTGAAACTCTTGTCGCAGTGCGAGCACTTGTAGGGTTTCTCTCCCGTATGGACTTTCTGGTGTTCCTTCAGATATTTGGCTCTGGAGAAGCTGTTCCCGCACACCGAGCACACGTGAGCTTTCTCTCCGGTGTGGATCTTCTGGTGCTCCTTCAGGTAACCCAGCTGTGAAAACATCTTTCCACAGAAGGAGCACAGCAAGAGCTTCTGGTGGATTTTCTGGTGTATCTTCAGGTGCTTTGCTGAGATGAAGCTCTTCCCGCACCGATCGCAGCCGAAGGGTCGTTCTCCAGAGTGCGAGTGCTGGTGGTTTCTGAGGATCGTAGCCTGTGTGAAGCTCTTCCCGCACTCGTGGCATGTGAAAGGCCTCTCTCCGGAGTGAATCCGCATGTGGTTCTTGAAGTGTCCCTTGCGGATGAAGCTCTTGTCACACAGGAGGCAGGTGAAGGGCTTCTCTCCCGTGTGGATCCGGATGTGGTTCTCCAGACTCTCCTTGCGTGTGAAGCTCTTGGAGCAGTGCGAGCAGCTGAAGGGTTTCTCTCCACTGTGAGTCTGCAGGTGTCTCTTCAGGTCTGCGTTCTTGAAGAAGCTGCTGCCGCACTGCAGACAGCTGTAGTTTCTCTCTCCGCTGTGGATTCTAATGTGGCTGTTAAGGTTGACTTTGAGCGTGAAACTCTTCCCGCACTGAGCGCAGATGAACGGAGATTTCTTGGCTCCTGTTCTCTTCTGGGAGAAATCATCTTCAGTCTGTGATTGTTCTGCAGTCATGATCTTCTGATGATCTTCATTCACTTCTTCACTTTCCACCTTCACTTCCAGCAGATCTGAAACCAATTCAGACAATGAGGTCAAATAAGAACGAAATTAACCACCATTTCACGGCAGAAATCAAGAGGTCCAGATGAAGACATGAACTGATCCAATGACAACAGTCGTAATATTATTATTCCCCAGTCACGCATAAAGCAATTGTAAATTCACGACTGATTATTGGGTATTGAGGCAAGAACCATGGACATGGATTAGGCCATGATATCTAATATCAGAGCCGTGTTCTGCTCAAAGCGAAGGAGAAAATGTTCTATGGTGCGGCTAAATGGTGCTGAATATTGGACTCCTTGCGTGTGAAGCTCTTGGAGCAGTGCGAGCAGCTGAAGGGTTTCTCTCCACTGTGAGTCTGCAGGTGTCTCTTCAGGTCTGCGTTCTTGAAGAAGCTGCTGCCGCACTGCAGACAGCTGTAGTTTCTCTCTCCGCTGTGGATTCTAATGTGGCTGTTAAGGTTGACTTTGAGCGTGAAACTCTTCCCGCACTGAGCGCAGATGAACGGAGATTTCTTGGCTCCTGTTCTCTTCTGGGAGAAATCATCTTCAGTCTGTGATTGTTCTGCAGTCATGATCTTCTGATGATCTTCATTCACTTCTTCACTTTCCACCTTCACTTCCAGCAGATCTGAAACCAATTCAGACAATGAGGTCAAATAAGAACGAAATTAACCACCATTTCACGGCAGAAATCAAGAGGTCCAGATGAAGACATGAACTGATCCAATGACAACAGTCGTAATATTATTATTCCCCAGTCACGCATAAAGCAATTGTAAATTCACGACTGATTATTGGGTATTGAGGCAAGAACCATGGACATGGATTAGGCCATGATATCTAATATCAGAGCCGTGTTCTGCTCAAAGCGAAGGAGAAAATGTTCTATGGTGCGGCTAAATGGTGCTGAATATTGGAATTATAACACCTAGTCCTGTTATGCAAACTGAAAAAAATAGCTAGTTTTATAATTTTGTTGTGTGTTTTTGTCAGTTTTATTTTAATAGTATTAATTAGTTTTAGTTATTTTAATACTTCAAGTTAAATGAAGTGAAAATGAGAAATGTTGCGCTTCAAACTAAATCATAAGCATACAGTTTAAAGCAGCCTGTCAGATGCGTGCTGTATAATGCATTTCAGACGTGTTTTCCTCAGCACATAACTTACATTATACTGTCATATTTGTACATGTGCAAGTTTTACATGATTTCCATTTTTCCTAATATCAAGCGAGTCTCTGTTAGATTGCACAGACTTCACTGAAGAAGCGGCGGTGTGCGCATGAACGTCAGACACACGGAGCACATTACAATAGAAGAGCTATAACTCTGACTAAAATATATTTTACATTCAAAAGTGGAAGCACTTCAAATCTCTTCCCCATTTACACCAGCACTAAACTAAACTGCAGTATGAAGAGAGTGTTGCAGCAGTCATTTTTATTTAATGAATGAGCCATCGTTTATTCAACAAGCCACTGTTTAATAAAAAAGAAAAAATGCATTACTTGATGATTTTGCCCCCACACACATCAGTCATTAAAGTAGAATCAATAATCCTCTCCGACCTCTCTGTTCCTCAGTCTCTTCCTCTTCCTCTTCCTCTTCCTCTCTGTGTGTTTCTGCATCACTCTCGTCTTCACTCTCCTCTTTAATAAACTCCATCTTTACAGAAGCGTAACTCGAACCTGGAAACTGTTGGAGCAGATGCAGAGCAGAAAGACATTATTAGTATTTAGTGAGTGCTGGATTCATCACATCATCACTCACGAATATTAAATATGTGTATGATGTGAGAGGATAACCTGCTGGTGTGAATGTGTTTCTTAGCTTCACCTCTCGCTGTTCTCTGTCACTCTTTAGACATTCACTGATATTTCTTGCTATTATCAGAACTTTTTCTGCATATTGTAATATTGTTTCTTTTTTCAATTCTTGTCAAGTTTTATTCATTTTTGTAGTTGATAATGATTCATACTGTAAATGTTACATCTATATTTTCTGTCACTGTATATAACCTGATATGATGTTTCTCTCTGGGTGTTATTGCTGTCACCGTTACACTCATGTCTGGAATTAATAACTATATCAGGGCTTTGTGTGATCAGATCAGAAACGGCAGGTCTGTAGGGATTTTAGGACTGAACTCGGTGTTGTTTGCACTGCACTGCACTGCCCGACTACAAACATATCAGCAAAAGCAGGTGTTTATGGACTGTATTAATGCTGAAACCCTGTGTTTCTCAGCTTCTGTTTATTGATTCGCTCTATTCAGCACTGGCGACATGAACAGGTCTTGAACAGAATCAGTGTAGTGCTCACTTATATCCGCTACTACCGACTCGTTTACAGACGGTAAACTACAGGAAAACAGTAATTCGGTTACCGTCACGCCGCCGCTTTGTTCATTCAATGACCGCTGCTCCGCTGGCGCCACACCCGGAAGTAGACGATCACAGGCTGCTTTCAGCCAATCAGACAAACCGCTTTTGTTAAAGGTGCAGGAAGAGATTTCTCTGTTAAATGGTTAACAATGTTTGTCATATTTTACATGCGTTAAATGGTAACAATCACATATTTAATGTTATTTTAGGTTACAAAAATGATTTTAATCATATATTTATACTATAGTAATACTGTGATGCTAAAACACTACATACAAACAAACAAACTGAAGACAACATGTTAGAAAAAGAAAATAATTCAGTTATCCAGTCATTTCAGCTGATGGAAACTAATAGAACGGGATTAGACTTAAAGTGATCGCTCAGCCAGAAATGAAAACTATCATTAGCTGGCATGTCACTGCAATCCTGAATGACTTTCCTTTCTTCTGTCGCGTGTAAATGAAGACGTTCTGAAGAAGGTTAGTCACCAAACAGTTTCAGTCCCCATTGACTTCCTCTGGAGTTTTTGTCCATACAATGGAAGTCAATGGGAACCAAAACTGTTTGGTGACTAACCTTCTTCAGAACGTCTTATGTTCATGTTCCACAGAAGAAAGTCATGTAGGTTTGGAAGGGCATGAGTAAATGATGACAGAATGAGCATGGCCCCTTTAAAAGAGTCTTTATCTCCTGGACAACAGCAGTATTACTAATTACTCTAATATTTGCTGTAAGTGGAAAATCATGAAAATAAGCCTGTTTGCTCAGAATGACTTCTTCTCCATATGAACAAATATATGAGATTATTCCTGCAAAATGATTTAATGGATCAAAATTATTTTGATAACTTTTTGCCATTTGGCATTGTCTAGAGCTGTCATGTGGTGAAGATCTGACAAAGGAGTTCGAAGGGGCCTTTTTTAAAATTAGAATGTTATTGTGTTGTGATTTGGAGGATGTAGATTTGTGGTTCTAGAAAAGAATATGAGTGCTGTTCAACTTCATGAAGGATGCTTGTGTTAAAGGCTAGAGTTATGTTTGTTCAGTCTGGTTATGTGCCGGTCAGAAATGATTCAGGGCTCGGGGCAGAAATGACATGAAACAGTATGCTCCCAAAATTGAAGATGAAATCGGTTTCTGTTTTTTTTTATAGCATATGATATAGGAATTATCAGACGAGCAAGAGTGTTTTTTATGAAAATCAACACGATTTAGACAACAGTAGCCTGGTTTCCATTAAAGGGAACTATGCAGTTTTGCATTGTGATTACAAAATAATGCCATCACACAATGACATCATACATTTTTGTCCTGCCTTTAGCAACTTTCCCTGAAAATTAGCTGGCAACACTGACATGGAGTAAACATGGAGGCCACTGAATTTTACTCGTTTACTCATTCATTTAGAAGCTGATGTGCTGCGAAAGCCAGCGAATTCACGAGCAGGCGAATGTGAGTGCAAAGTTTTTCAGTATTTACAGTACGACCCCTTATGTTCAGCTTGTATAGAGCTGTTACTGTAAAACCGTGAAACACCACCGCCTCTGCCCTGACCAAACAACCACCGATATATAAACTCTCGACAGCGTGGAACACATACAAAAGTGTGTCAGAATACCCGTCTTGGCACGTATCCTTGAACACAGTCGGTTATGTCTTAAATGAACATAAACAGTTGAGAACGAAATCAAATGTGTATCAGTATATTAGACCTATGAATTGTGTTTAAAGTGACCGCGCCTAATTTACTAGCTGCTGTAGGTGTCCTTAATATTAATCAAATAAATAAGTAAATGTATTGCTCTTGACTGAATAACTTAGCTTTACAATTAATCTATATTTAATTTATACAGTGAATATACAATATTATCTCATTATTCAATTTCTGTACTTGAACACCTACAAATCTCAAAACCCCAAGCATCTTTAATTTGTATCTTTGTATTATTTATTTATATGAGCTATTCCTTGTAATTTTGTCCATTGTTCATACTGACTGTTCACTTGTCTTTAATAATGTTTGATCTTTGTTAGGCTAGTAGTTTTTGCTGTGGTATTAAAATTGGAATCAAGAATTGTAAAATTGAACTGGTATATATTTTTGGTGTCATATAATCAAATTTATTATAATACAAGATAACATGGGTCAAAAACAATGATAACATTTATTTAAACAACAAAGTTACTTACTTACTAAGCTAACACCATGCTTCTTGATGATATCTTCCAAGGGTAGCGTGCACAGGGTGAAAAGAAACGGTCCTAGTACTGAGCCTTGTGGTACTCCATACTGAACTTGTCATCGATATGATACCTTTAACGTGTAGAAATAAGAGACAGACCTTGTTTTTGGAATGGTACCATACACAAGTAATTTTATTCATTTAAAATTGTTGTTACTCCTGAATTTAAACCATCCATTTACAGCAATAGACATGTTTTAATTATTTGTTTAATAGACTTTATCAAGATGGCAAGAACTTCACTGCAGGAAATGTGTTTTAGTGAGTGACACATTCTCTCCTGAGGAGCTACTTTGGAGCATGAATTTCTCTAGCAGCAGGTATTTATTATGTATGAATGACTTTAAAGCAAAGTTTTTCAGTATTTACAGTACGACCCCTTATGTTCAGCTTGTATAGAGCTGTTACTGTAAAACCGTGAAACACCACCGCCTCTGCCCTGACCAAACAACCACCGATATATAAACTCTCGACAGCGTGGAACACATACAAAAGTGTGTCAGAATACCCGTCTTGGCACGTATCCTTGAACACAGTCGGTTATGTCTTAAATGAACATAAACAGTTGAGAACGAAATCAAATGTGTATCAGTATATTAGACCTATGAATTGTGTTTAAAGTGACCGCGCCTAATTTACTAGCTGCTGTAGGTGTCCTTAATATTAATCAAATAAATAAGTAAATGTATTGCTCTTGACTGAATAACTTAGCTTTACAATTAATCTATATTTAATTTATACAGTGAATATACAATATTATCTCATTATTCAATTTCTGTACTTGAACACCTACAAATCTCAAAACCCCAAGCATCTTTAATTTGTATCTTTGTATTATTTATTTATATGAGCTATTCCTTGTAATTTTGTCCATTGTTCATACTGACTGTTCACTTGTCTTTAATAATGTTTGATCTTTGTTAGGCTAGTAGTTTTTGCTGTGGTATTAAAATTGGAATCAAGAATTGTAAAATTGAACTGGTATATATTTTTGGTGTCATATAATCAAATTTATTATAATACAAGATAACATGGGTCAAAAACAATGATAACATTTATTTAAACAACAAAGTTACTTACTTACTAAGCTAACACCATGCTTCTTGATGATATCTCCCAAGGGTAGCGTGCACAGGGTGAAAAGAAACGGTCCTAGTACTGAGCCTTGTGGTACTCCATACTGAACTTGTCATCGATATGATACCTTTAACGTGTAGAAATAAGAGACAGACCTTGTTTTTGGAATGGTACCATACACAAGTAATTTTATTCATTTAAAATTGTTGTTACTCCTGAATTTAAACCATCCATTTAGAGCAATAGACATGTTTTAATTATTTGTTTAATAGACTTTATCAAGATGGCAAGAACTTCACTGCAGGAAATGTGTTTTAGTGAGTGACACATTCTCTCCTGAGGAGCATGAATTTCTCTAGCAGCAGGTATTTATTATGTATGAATGACTTTAAATGTCTTTTAAGAGCGGTCATTTGGGTGAAACTCCTCCCGCATGGAGCGCAGTGATACGGCTTCACTTCCTTCGCATCGTTGTGAACGCTCTCATGTGCTTTCAGCTTTCCTGCCACTCTAAAACCTTTCCCACACTGAGGACAGATGTACGGCTTCACATCAGAGTGAGTTTTTAAGTGAGTCTGAAAGTTTCCGCTTTGTGCAAAAGTTTTCCCGCACTGCTGGCATGTAAAAGGCTTCTCTTCACTGTGAACTCTCATGTGCCCTCTAAGGCTTCCTTTTTGTCGAAAACTCCTCTCACACTGATTGCACTTGAACGGCTTCTCTCCAGTGTGGATTCTTATGTGTTCTGTAAGGCTTGCTCTTTGTTTAAACCCATTTCCACAGTACTTGCATGTGAAAGGTCTCTCGCCAGTGTGGATTCTCATGTGATCCTTCAGGCTTCCCTTACACGTGAAACTCCTTCCACACTGACCGCAGGTGCACGAATTTCTAGCTCCAGTTCTCTGAGTTCTTTTTTGTGACACATTCTTTTTATTCAGTTCTTCACTTTCCTCTTCAACTTCCATCAGGTCTGAAAGGAACAAATTAAATTGATTAAAAACACAAAAAAATCAAGTAAATTGACAATAAACGTGAAATAAGAAATAAAAGTGACCCCATTTAACAACACAACCAAGCTCAAGCATCTATTTTATATCATCATGGTTCACTTTATAATGTTAAACTTTAATCATTTTAGATCCTAAAAGCATGAGTTATCAAGAAAATCTGGTCAAACATTAATCAATATTTCCGAGGTTTTGTCTCTACAACATGAACATAATGCAAAATACTGGATAAATTAACCATCCTAATAATAATGGTTAATAGTGGCTTTGGTAAGACAGAAATGTTTCAGAAATGGTAATGCTCTGCTACACAATGTGTGTCCGAGATAAATGTTGTGTGATTACAAGGAGTTAGATCACATTATAAGGAGTTATGCAATTAACACTAACTTGAACTTGTTTGGGTGGAAATGTAACACACACGAAGACAAGATGAAGATAAGCGGTCTTTAATAAATCCACAGATAGTTAAATCCAAACAAGGGAAGGCTGGCGACACGCATAACATTGACGAGACAAACTCAAACTGAACACACAGGAACTTAAATGCACAGACCAAACTAGGATAATAAACAAGACACAGCTGGGACCCGTTTCATAAAAAAGGTTTACCAAATAAGCCAGGTTTATTTCAGTTAGTCTGACTTATTGTCAGTTGATTTGGTTCAAAATAAGTCAGAATAACTGAAATAAGTCTGGCTTGTTTGGTAAACTTGTTTTATGAAACAGCCCCCTGAACATACTGATGAACTCAAATCAGAAACCATGACAACAAACTAAAGAGAGAACAGTGAGAACACACACCGAGTCCATATGATTGTGACACATATGCATATTTACATACTTAATTACCTATATTTTATTTGAAGATATTTCATAATAGCAACACTATGAATGCAAATTGAATTATTTCCCTCAGCCTATAAAAGCGAAGATGTCTGAAATCGAATTCATGGAAATACTGAATAATAACCCCATTGATTACAAAAAGTATTACTGTAAGTATCGCATGGCACTCAGATCCTTCAGTGCTGATTCTGGTGGCCCATCTTACCCCAAAGTTCTCGGTTTATCTTTTTTTTTTTTCTCGAATAATAAACCTAAAAAATAAAACTATATATTTAGTTTTCTGCCTAAATCTCGCAAATGTTGATTTTCAGATTAAATAAAATAATTAACAAATAGCATAACATCATAAGTTTTGAGATGATTTTATATGCATGCATTTGTAGACTTATAACTATTAACATTATTATTTAAATCATACCATCCATCTACAAAAAAAAAAAATATATATATATATTGCACATATAAAACAAATACGTGATGTTATTCGCGGTAGGTTGCATGTGTGTAAATCATCCTCGAATATCTGTACAGTGGTCATGCAATAATCACAGTGTGTTAACATCATTCTTTGTGTGTCCATTGTCTCCAAAAGACTGCGCGCAAACGCAGAGGTCATGCGGTGAGGTGACACGTGGACTTCAGACAGCTTCAGATACAGATATGCCTCTGTGTGTGTTTCTGCATCACTCTCCTCTTTAATGACCTCCATCGCGAGCTTCGGCAGCTGATTCTTGTTTAGCGTTAAGTCAAGTCACCTTTATTTATATAGTGCTTTTAACAATACAGATTGTCTCAAAGCAACTGTACAGCATTAATTAGGAAAATAGTGTGTCAATAATGCAGAAGGACAATAGTAAACACTCATTATTCAGTTAAAGACAGTTCATCATTGAATTCAGTGATGTCATCATCCAGCTCAGCTCAGTTTAAATAGTATCTGTGCAATCAAGTCCACGATATCGCTGGAAATGAAGTGTCCCCAACTAAGCAAGCCAGAGGAATCGAAGCTCCATCGGTGAC